GAAATGATATATATGGGGAATTGTAAAAATGATTGATATATGGGAAAATAAAAATGATATATGTGGGAAGATGGAAATGATATATATGGGAAAATGGAAATGATATATATGGGGAAATAATAAAAATTATATATATGGGAAAACAATAAAATTGATATATATGGGAAAACAATATAATTGATATATGGGAAGATGGAAATGATATATATGGGAAATTGTAAAAATGATTGATATATGGAAAAATAAAAATGATATATATGGGAAATTGTAAAAATGATTGATATGTGGGAAAATAAAAATGATATATATGGGAAAATGGAAATGATATATATGGGAAAATAATAAAAATGATATATATGGGAAAATAGTAAAAAATGATATATGGGAGGACAGAAATGATATATATGGGGGAATAGTGGAAATGACATATATGGGAAATTATAAAAATGATATATATGGGAAAATGGAAATGATTTATATGGGGAAATGAAAGTTATATATGTGGGAAAATAATAAAAATGATATATATGGGAAAATAATAGAAATCATCTGTATGGGAAAATAATAAAAATCATATATATGGGGAAATAATAAAAATGATACATATCGGAAAATAAAAATGATTGATATATGGGAAAATGATGATATATGGGAAAACGAAAATGATATTTATGGGAAAATGAAAATGATATATGGGAAAAATTAGCCGGGCGTGGTGGCGCATGCCTGTAGTCCCAGCTACTCGGGAGGGAGGCTGAGGCAGGAGGCTTGCTGGAGGCCAGGAGTTGGAGGCTGCTGTGAGCGAGGCTGAGGCCACGGCGCTCACTCCGGCCCTGGCGACAGAGCGAGACTCTGACTCAAAAAAACCAAAAAAAAACCCAACTCATACAACCGTTCCTCCTTCTGCCTGAATTTCAGTGGAGGTCCGGCCTTCTGGCCTCTAAAAAAAAATAATAATAATAATAACCTTGAGTCATGTAGGTTAAAGAAAAAAAATAAAATAGAAGAATAAATTATAAAAGGAAAAAAAAGAAAATTAATATTAAAAAAATAATAATAAAAAGACTAATAAGGGGTCCAAGGTTCCAAGAAGACCCCACCTGCCTCCTGGCCTCCTCCCTGCCGGCCTCCACCAACAGCCTCCCTCTTACCCAGGAAGAAGCAGGACCCAGCCCACGACTTTGGGGACCGGGACATCCTGGCTCCACATTTTTTTTTCTTTTTTAAAAAAAGAAAATAATTTAAAAAAATAAATTAAAAAAACAAAACAAAAAAAAACCACCCGCCCAGAACAAAACAGCCTCCACTTGGAGGCCGGCCCAAAGCCCAAGAAAGGTTAAAAAGGGAGATTCTTCCTCAGAAGAGGATTTCTTGGAAAGAGCCTGGCGGGGCCGGGGGGGATTTGGCTGGAATTTCGGGGAAGGTCACGGAGAACAGGACACGCCTCAAGGGTAGGAGGCAGGGAGGAGGCCAGGAAGGGAGGCCAGAGGAGAAAAGACATTGGAGGAGCAGAGAGAGGAGGGAAAAAAAAGCCTAAGGGACCAGAGAGGGCGAGCGAGTTCTCTGAGGTCACACAGCGCAGCAGCTAGGAGAACCGGGAACGGGAAAAAAAAAATAAATAAAAATCTAAGGGATCAGAGAGGGCGAGCGATTTCTCTAAGGTCACACAGCACAAGGGAGAACCGGGAACGAAAAAAAAGAAAAATCTAAGGGACCAGAGAGATTGAGCGAGTTCCCTGAGGTCACACAGCACAAGGAAGAACTAGGAATGGAAAAAAAAAAAAAAAAATCTAAGGGACCAGAGAGGACGAGCGAGTTCCTTGAGGTCACACAGCACAAGGGAGAACCAGGAATGAAAAAAAAGAAAAATCTAAGGGACCAGAGAGGTAGAGCGAGTTCTCTAAGGCCACACAGCGCAGCCGGGAGAACTGGGAACGGGGGAAAAAAAAGAAAAAACTAACGGATCAGAGAGGTTCAGCAACTTCCCTGAGGTCACACAGCGCAGCCGGGAGAACTGGGAAGGGGGGGGGAGAAACAAACAAAAACAAAAAAACCCTAAGGGACCAGCGAGGGCAAGCGATTTCTCTGAGGTCACACAGCACAGCCGGGAGAACAGGGAACGAAAAAAAAAAAAAATCTAACAGACCAGAGAGGGTGAGCGAATTCCCTAAGGCCACACAGCACAAGGGAGAACCGGGAACAGAAAAAAAAAAAAATCTAAGGGACCAGAGAGGTTGAGCAAGTTCCCTGAGGTCACACAGCGCAGCCGGGAGAACCGGGAACGGAAATAAGAAAAAAAAAATCTAAGGGATCAGAGAGGTTGAGCGACTTGTCTAAGGTCACACAGCGCAGCCGGGAGAACCGGGAACGGGGGAAAAAAAACAAACAAAAAAAATCTAAGGGACCAGAGAGGGCGAGCGACTTCCCTAAGGTCTCACAGCGCAGCCGGGAGAACCAGGAACGGAGAAAAAAAAAAAAAACCCTAAAGGATCAGAGAGGTGAGCGATTTCTCTAAGGCCACACAGCACAGCGGGGAGAACCAGGGAATTAAAAAAAAAAAAAAAATCTCAGTGATCAGAGAGGGCGAGCAACCTCCCTAAGGTCACACAGCACAAGGGAGAACTGGGAACGAAAAAAAAAAAACCTAAGGGACCAGAGAAGCTGAGCGAGTTCCCTGAGGCCACACAGCGCAGCAAGGAGAACCAGGAACGGAAAAAAAAAACAACAAAATCTAAGAGACCAGAGAGGTTGAGCGATTTCTCTGAGGTCACACAGCACAAAGGAGAACCAAGAACGGAAAAAAGAAAAAGAAAAAAACCCCTAAGGGACCAGAGAGGGCAGGCGAGTTATCTGAGGTCACACAGCGCAGCCGGGAGAACAGGGAACAGAAAAAAAAAGAAAAAACTAACGGATCAGAGAGGTTGAGCAACTTCCCTGAGGTCACACAGCACAAGGGAGAACTGGGAACGGGGGAAAAAAAAATAAACCTAAGGGATCAGAGAGGTTGAGCGATTTCTCTAAGGTCACACAGCGCAGCCAGGAGAACCGGGAATGGAAATGACAACAACAACAAAAAAAACAA